GTCGCTACAAACTCATACGATCAGACAACTTCCCTACTGGAGTCGGTCACATCCACTCGGATGACCCAAAACTAGCCTACTGCTTGCAGTTTGTTAGAATGTGGAAGCTGAGAATTCATATTGTGGATTTCCGGATTCATCACGGTGTAAAAAGGGAGTCTGAGCCAACCGATCGGAGAATCATTCAACTTAATTAAGTGGACGTGTGCGAAATACTTCTGGGAAAGTTAAATCTAATAATAACGTATTCATAGTTCAAGACAGGTTTTTCCAACCTGCGTTGTTCACGACACTGTGTAGACTTCACCAGCCGACTCTTTTCATGTCTAAGTACGATGCATTAAAACCCGTCACCAGAACTGACTAACTCAGGTGTGAATGTGTAGGACGGGACTGATATTCGCTCATACGACTACATTGGAACCCACCATCTACCACTGAAACGCTTCCTTGTCGCTACCCCGAATTTCCCAGGTCAAAGCCGCGGTATTAATGACTGTTGTGCCTGGAATGTCACATTCACGATAGTCATTGATGCCATGTTCAAGACTGGCCTAAATAAACCAAGGTGTATTCTGTATTGCGTAAAATTTCCCGGCTGTCTGACTGAATCTATATGCCCTGAATATAAATTGCCCTTGCCGTTCTAGAATCTATTGTGAATCGATCCGCGTGTTGCCTTTTACACAAGTTGTTTTTATCGTTTTTCAGTCCTTTCTACGTCCACAACGACTGGATTCGTTTCATCTTTGCTGCCGAGACTGAAACCGAACGTACCAGGTGGATGAATTTGTTGGCCATGCCCTCTATTACCCTGCCTGACATCAATGAGAACCGGTCCCCTCGTGTTGGAGGATTCGGTCCAGGACATCTGGCCGGCGATGAGGATCTGCCTCCTCGGGTCAGTTTGCGGTCCAAGGCTATGATCGCTCATTCCGAGCACGACTGTCAACTCGGAAGACAACCCATCCCACCAAAACCTGGACAAGATGCGGAGCAGCAGCGGTTACAAACCTCGGCTAACCAATCCCCTTTGGAGCTGAGACGTGTTAGTTTCCTTTTTTTTCCTTCCACTTTTCATCGTTATCTCAAATCACAACTACAGCGGTTGCATTTGACGCGACAATTGTCCGCAGGTTGTTTCTGTCCTCGTGAGGTATAAACAAAAGCTATCTTTGTAGCATAGCACGCGCACTAACTCAGGAACATCGACAGTTCGTCAATTTGCTGTTCAAGACAGTGCAGTTGTTTTTCGGCCTGCAGCGGACCCGTTAGTCCGCAGCAGTCGCTATCCTCTTATGATCATTTCTGGTCCGTCTTTCCGGATATGAACCCCATCCCAAGCATCCTGTGAGTAAAGGCTCAAAACAGACCAGTTTCTCTTAGGTGAAGAATCCAGAACTGCCACCAGGTGGCAACCCTAAGTCGCCCTAATTATTAATTATTTGTCTAAAACAACTTGCAGTGTAGATCGATAGAGATTGGGTGATCTTAGTGATCGCAAAAGTTTATACGAATTCGTGATTTCAGTCATTCCTAGCCGTGGAATCGGCACATCCTTGCAATGCCAATGAGCTAGTGTGACGAGTATCAAACGGTGAGGTAACCGTGATTTAGCAGACTGAAGTAAGTCCATAATTTAGCTCGCTGTATGGTTGCAAGTCTACTCTTAAGCCGGGCAGCTGAACTTTTCTGTGCTAGTTTCGCTCCATATCATTTGGGTTCTCGTTCGACCTGGTACTTATCTTCAGGGATCACGATTTGGGACTAAGTTTGTCAGTTGACCTGGACTAACGTTATTGGCACACCAATTTCTAACAGCTTCTGCATATAATGAGGGTTTCCTTCGGAATAAATATTACTTGAAGAAGCTAGCGTAAAACACCAAAGAGTTGATATTTAATGCAGGGCACTGGTAAGCCTACCCATTTCACGGTCTCGTTCTGGTTACTGAATATCGAATCCTCCGTTAGTCGGTTGACCTTACTTTTCAAAAGTCTCTAGACGGTGTTCTTGGGGCGAACTAGTCGAAGTGGTTAGAGCGCGAATTTACTGACCGGAAGGTCCGTGGTTCGAACCCGACCTCTGCCTCTCGAATTCCTCTGTCTAGGCTTAGGAAACCTGGCAGTATCCCAGCCCTTTCTTTCTTCTTGTGGCTTTCTTCGTGTGGCATGGCAGCTAGGCACCGAAAGGGTGCTACAGCTGAACGATTAGACGGTGTTCTTATCCCTGCATCTCTGTTAACGTTTCATGGCAGTAGCAAACTTGGTCTGATATCCTCTGGCATCTTTGTGTACTCAGTCTGCTTGTTTAAGCCACGGAGTCCCACTCGGATTCACAACAGAACTTCAAGTTGACCCATCTAATACTTTGATATACTGCATCAGACTGAACCGTTGCGCTCTCCTATGGTCTCCTCATGGTAGTGAGAAACGGATGCACGCGTATGAATGTTATTCACTGTCGCATACCCACTCATTTCAATTTGAATCCCTATGTGGTACGTCGCACTTAATGGGAGCGCGTTCTTTGTCACTGTAGTCACTCGGGGTGTTCTAATTACGCAAGGTTCTAATTACGCAGGTGAGAATGAAGGAACTTGTTGAGTTTGAACGACCTAGTTTGGAATGCTGTTCAGCCTGGACTAAGTCTCCTGTCACCTCGACTTGACGACTGAGCTCAGTAGTTATTGGGGGTGAACGCTGATTTGTCATGGACGCATGGCTCAGTACGACACAAAAGAAAACAGTTCTGATGGGTGCCTTTTGATTCATCGTATGAGCTAGTTAGCGCTTTCGAACAGACGTCCAGACGTTGTTGTAGGTTGACTTATGTTGGGGGCACATGAAAGCAGAACATCTTTTAGCTCATGCAAGTTCGAAATGACAGCATGAACAAGACTTACTCATTTATGTGGGCAAATATGAACGGAACCGTGTACTGGACAGGAATTAATAATATCGTGACCCGCAACACTGATTGCACTCTTCTTATTGACACAGTTCTTGTGAAGCTGTAGCCGATGCTATCCACAGGACCATCTTGTATTTCTGTTCGTTGCCGTTAGAGAACTAGATAGGGTATCTCAGATACAACGCTGCACACCTTTCAGCATGTTAGGCTATAGCTACTGTTGCACTGCCTGAAGACCTCCTGTCAACCCGAGCGCGATCCTTTTGTGATATACTAGAAAACTGAGTGTACGAAGGTGTGGAAGAGTCTTCGGCAACCTTATGAGTAGTGTTTCGCCAGGACAAAAGTGCATTTTACGCCTTTATTGATGAACCAGTGTTTAAAAGCTCCTCTTTGAAATTGGAGCTCGGAGTCAGTTTAAGGGAGTTTTTTTGGAGATCTTCAAAAGCGGAGTTCATGATTTTATACAATGGGCTTCCGGATCCGGAATCCTTTCAGTGGAACAATACCATTAGGGAGTCATGATTTTTTGCGCAAATATCACGCCATTTCTTTTGCGCAATATTCTCGTAACTTCCATGTTTGTGTCCGGGTGTCTGCTGGTCAAAAATTACTTGATTCTCCATCAATCAGCAAAAGTTTGGAACTGGTTGAGGAATCATCGTTTCAGAGGAGCTTGGTTAACAATCGGTGGGTTTTTTTTATTTGGGCAACGTTTCGCTTTTCACACAGAAGCTTCATCAGGCCAACTGACCAGGTCACCAAATTGGCCAAATTATTAGGTAGATGGGGAACCAATCAGTAAGTCCTCTTCAGATTACCACACTAGATCAATTAATGGCTCTTGTCTGTTAGTGTGGTGGATTTGGTGAATTGGATTCTATTCGCTAGCTGTGAAGTTATAGTGACGAATGAGGGTATACGTGTAATTTTTTGTCGTAAGGTTCATATTGTCGCCCTGTTTTGTCCGTACAGAGTCGACGAAATTGCTCCTTTTTCCATCCTTATTCAATATTGTCTACAGAATCCTTCTCTCGGAGTGAAACCCCTGTCGCCATGCGTTTCACGTCAGGATGAAACGGACCCTTCCGCCTCGTCATTTATCGTCCCAAAAGTAGTGCCACAGGTATTTTGTAGCCTTCCGCATCGTTCCCCATCCGTCCCCTCCGGGTTGAGCTACATGGATGGTGGAGGTTCCCATGATTTTGATGAGTCGCTACTGGGATGTCCGAGAGTGGCACGAAATGAAGCATCCCCCATAATCGTCTGCGATCTTATAACTATGCGGGAAAAACCATCGTTGGAAAGTCATTCAAGTACTCATTCACCCACTTATATGCTTCCCCCGCAGTTCCCCCAGCGCAGTTCAACTTGCAAATCCTCACCACCAATATCTGATGCTACCTCTGGGCAACCCAACTCCCATCGATATCAGTTAAGCCCACCGGTACGTGACTCTCGCCAGCGCGCCATGTCTTCTTCTCCGCTTCCACAATGTCATGGGAAGCGATCTGCTTTGATGACATCCAACGATCATTCAACGACACCGACTTCTGGTGTGTAATATCGCTCTTCTCCGCTATATTCGATTGCAAACTCATGCTGTGACCCATCCCAAGTTCTTTGCTGCCCTTTGTCTTGAGCGCCATTGTTATGTCATTCCTTTGATATTTTTTGCTCATCTTCTCTCGCCTTCTTTGTGATATTTCCTCGGTCCTTTCTCATCACAAAACCGTTGTCAACGCACGGTGAATTGTTCATCTGCAGTTTCTGGATACGTGTCAACAATTTCGCGCAAGTTAGCCCTGTGAACCAGTTTGTGAGTTACATCCAAACGATGGGTAGTTCGCATTGGATTGATCATTCTCAAGCAAACCCCATAGCTGTAACCTGTTTGAACCTTGTATCAGCCAATATCCCTAGGCCATTGGGACTCTGAACCGAAAATCGCTCCTCTGTACGGGAACGTGCAGCCGGAATAACCGTACGTTTTTTCGAATTGACATTTAAGTGATGTACTAGCAGTGGACCAGTGGAAGTGGCGCTCTGATAGTTTAGGGTATCAGTGATTCAGGATCCAAGGTCTCGATACCTCTTGCTCCGTTACGTGTCCCCCAAAGCAGCTCAGTATATTACATATGGTGCACCTTTTTCAGTCAGTCACCATCCGGATCAAAACACTCCCAGCAAGTACTACTGATAAGTAGTAATTGGAAAAAATATTGGGTTTCCAAATTTACTACCCGGGTGGCCTAGGATGTTTAGAGCTATCGGACTGTACGTAGTTGGTATTCAGAGGGCAGATGAATAAGGGCAGTAAATGCTGAATTGATGACTGTGAACAAATGGGTTGATAAACATGAGCCACACAACGTACAATCAGTAATAGCGTAGTCGTTAGGGGCAGTGAAGCAGCACGGCTTTTTGGAAGCAGTGACGAGCAAGTACCAAAGATATACAAACGTACGGATACCAGCAATCGAACAGTATCAATGGGATGTATACAGTGATAGCGGTGAAGAAGAGAGTCAACACGTTCAGGAGGTATTTTCGAATTAAAAGGAACCTGAAACTATCTTGAAAACCGGTGTTGGCTGAATTTGGTACCAATTTTAGCTGACCGCTGACAACCATCATCATCTGTAGCACCACATGAGTGAAAAAAAAGAACAAAGGTAGACGGCGGTGGGACCTAGTGATAGCTTACTACAATCATTCTGGGGTGCCTACACCTCCAGACACTCATTCAGATAATTTGGATCGATACTGACAACAAGGACGTCGCCGACATGGAATAGCAGCGTCTCGAACCAGACGCAGTGGGGATCACACCCTGTCCACCTTGGGAGGCGAGTAGCGCCGACAGCACCCAAACGTTTCGTAATCTCTTTCATGCCCCTCTGTCATATCAAGGTTTGGCCACATCTCTCCTTCCCCCACTCTCAGTTGGGCACGGAAAGCAGCACTCTCTTAAGCAAACGATTTCTCGGCACACGCATAACCAACTCAGATTCTTATGCTAGATATGTTTCAATCACACAACCGATAACTCGCTTCTAATTGCCTCGTTATGGATTCGCCGACACCAATCCACATGAGGTATAGTCCTGAGACAACGACTGTCCAACACCTGAAGACGTCGCACTTCCGCTGCTCTAACAGGCCAAGTATCAGCCAGATACACACGTCTCTTGAGATTTAGGGATATACCGTTTTGACGCCACAGGTGTCTCAAATTAGCAGAGGCGATCCGAACCTTGAAGATTTGTGCATTGACCTCGTCTGTCACACCACAATCAGAACTAATACAACTTCTAAGGTACATGAAACGCTCCACAACTTCGAGTCTCTCTCTAAGTTGCAAGTGGCATGTTTAGTAACTTCATGTCCAGAAGCATGACCTTACACTTTGTGGATGCAAGGTGCATATCATGCGGAAACACATGCGCCTTCTCCTCTTCGAAGACGAGAACGATACCGTCTGCATACTCCAGATCGACAGGGACTTCGTCAGAGGCGATTTGAAAGCCCTCCAGCGTTCGTCCCATTATCTCAGCGTGACAGCGACACGTGCTGCATGTAAAAACCCAAGTGCTCGATTAGGCATTTTTTAAACATGATCTCAGCAAGCACTATTAGGTAAGACTCAATACAAAGGCGATAAAAAATGGAGCTGCCAGAGAAGTTGATTGCGCGCGGTGAAGAGTGCAGTTGTTCGCCCTTTAGAGATCTGTTTTTGATCCCCGGACCCCCTAACTTTCCGTTCGAACAGACATTCGGAAATAAGTAGGTATAATACGAAATTGCAGACGAAAATATACATTAGTAACCAAATGGTAAGCAAACCTTAAGCAAGGAAGCCGGGGGACGAGCGTCAGGGAAGCATAGTGGCTCTATGGTAAATGAATTGGTCGCGCTACTCACGAGTAGTCAAATAAAAACCGTTTATTCAATGGTTGGATCGACGCCTTTTCATTAGTGTGTTATGGGACAATCAGAGCTCGATTTTTCTTCAAGGAAACGTCTTTTATTTGAGGCTTGTTCTGTGGTAATTTCCAGAGATCTCCGAAGCGGTGTGACGCGCTTTATTTTCGGCGTTCAGCTGACTCTTTGTTCACTTCAATCTCTAGTTGTTTCGTTTAAACCACCCAGACAGATAATGGTGAATGTGTGCTACAGACAGCTGGCTAACTTGGCCACTTTGTGATGGGGCGCATTTCAAGGGCCGCAATTCCCGGCTCTTTGATTGAGAACCCGTTTTCAGTGAAACTAGATGAGCATGTGGAAAATTTACGAAACACGACGGAAGTGATGTTGCGGAGAAAACCACGGCATCAGCATCATTACTAGAGAACCTTTTCTGTCATCTGTGTTCCATCAGCTTCAAATCCGGGGTCTACAAACAACAAGGTTCCTTCTATTGGAACTGAAATTAGGATCGACCGTGGATATCATATATTATGCTCATCTACATCAAGCGGCATTGACTTTCCCCACACAAAGCGCGCTGGATAGCGCAGTTAGCATTGAAATCATTAGGCATGAAAGTTAAGAGAGGCTGATGAGCAAAGAGTTACGAGGGACGATGAGATAACGTCCGATTAGGAATGCACTAAAGTGTGACAAAGGCGAAATTGAATGCATTATCGATCTGTCTCCCTGGGGCGCTCATTTTCTCTCATAATGGACCAGAATGTATAGAACCAGTTGATCGTCTCCAAAACCTGTCGGTTTTTCTCTCGTCTGGTCTATCCAGTCTATTATTCGACTAATCAAAACTCTGGGAGAGGACGCCATGGTCAGCAGTAAACGTTTTTATCAATATGTTTCTTTTACTTCATTTCTGAAACAATGTATATGTAGAGCTTCGGGACGTGGAACGGCGGTAACTTTGAAGACACCCATGCAAGATGATATTTATCAACCCTAAGCTCGTGGGCCTTCCCCAAGGTGGAACCAAGCGTTCCTTCCTCGTTGTGTCATCTCTTTAACAGATACAGTAAATTTGGCGGAAAATGCTCAAGAAGTACACCTTCAAGATAAATCAAAATCACCTGCAGAAAGTTGTCCTCGGTGACGTTGCTTTGTGTTTCGTAACCGTCTCAGCTAATTTTTCCGAAGCAAAATGCTTCCCATTAAAGATTAAATTAACGCCTTTACCAAAAATCCTTTCGTTGCATTGAGTTTGGTGTGTGCCACTTTACTTGAAGTTTTGTGCATCTAGTGGCCAAAATGTCGGCCAGACTTTAATTTATTTTTGTGCCACGTTTATGTTGATTACAAAACGACTGCATAAGAGTCACTTTCAAATCAAGGATGAGGGCCATTCTGTGGCTTTGTGATTCAGGGATACAATAGTCAGATGGGAATACGTGAGCCGGGTGTTATTTTCCTTACTTCCAACGCGCTGAAAAAAAGATCCATGAAATGTGTGCGTGAAAAATTCTTATATCTGACTGCTGCTCCCGCTGCAGTGCCTGAAGCCAGAAAAACAACTCACCAACAAGGAAGACAACAGCCTTATTGCAACAAGCGTGTGCGTACGGGTGCAGAAGTTACAACGTCCCCGCACCATTTGAAGGGTACCTTTTGACATCGATCCAGGCTGTCCGCTCGGCGTTTAGTGAACACCCATCAACATGCTTCGATGAAATGCTTGAACACTGATCATAGTTGGTCGTGCTTCTGTGGCGTGCCCGAACACTCATCAACTTCTGCTGAACTGATTGATTGACTGGCCTGGATGTTTGCCGGCTTCCCTACTGAGATTTTGGTGAAGTTTTAAGTTCGCAGTAGGTTCCGGTTATTCTGAGTTTATTTTGAGGAATCTGACCTTCCAGACAGAGAGGTAGGGGAAAACTGAGCTGACAGGCTTCTGTTGCGGGATTTTGAAGAAACGATGTGCGAATATGTATAGTCCAACCCAGAAATGATAGGGCAGTAGCCACACAGGTCGAAGACAATAGTGTCATGAAACTGATAACTGGAAACATCAAAACCGAGAGTTTCAACTGGGTTCCAGGTGAGTCTCTAGAGAAACCAAATTAGTTTGCAAATGAGTGTATATTCGCTAACTTCTATAAGTATTAGAGTTGAGCCCGTAGACAGATGATCAATTGGCATCTTCTCACGACGAGAACGCTGACAATTTTTACGACGTTACTGAAAACAGGGAATAGCCCTCTAGCTGTTATAGTCATTTTGAATGGATATCAAACCACGCAACGTCAAACCACTCGGACAGTAGGCACTGCACACGAAACCGACAACAGCGCCGTAGCTTTCTTAACCATATGTCGTTCCCAGTCAATGGGAGAACGTCTGGAGAAAGCCCGCCTTGGAAATCATCGGTCTGAATTGGTTTGGTGAATGATCATCAGATTTATTTCTCGACAGTGTTTCGCCTTCGATATAAAGGCTTCAGTTTATGTTTCAAGGTTGCTCGAACTTTAAACCCGGGGAGTACAAGTCACCATGCTGTCCTTGTTACGGTGACTTCCTTGCTAGTTATATGGTCATAGTTAATGTGGATGAGGAGATGTCCCACCTGTGGGCGGGAGGAAAACAACTCGGCCAGATTTTGTGATCAACGTCTTCATGTTCTCCTTGACTGTCTGTTTGGGTGCTACGACAATATGGTTGAGGTGAGGGCAGTGCTTGATTTCTGGTTATTCTGATCTTTCTACACCACACCTAAGCAATTCTTGCCTGCCAGTTACACACCTCCAAGTGTCAACTCGGTTTATCTAAGGCCGCTCCCACATATCCACCAGTCGGGAAGCTTGGCAACTTCCATTGTTTCCGCCATCA